CTCAGGAATTCCACGGAACAAACTAAATTAATTAATAATCCCCGTGAAACTGAAGGTGCCATTTTACACGGAGATACTTGTGAAGAATTCCCGCTCGTTTTACTAGAATTTCACGCGTTAGCGAGGATAATGCTAGATTACCGGTAGCAGTGACAGTTGAAATTGTCATGACCGCGGAGATTTCCACTTTGAACGCAAGAATTTCTGTTCCCCGTGTCATTCTTCTGGCGAATTTCGCTGTTTGCAGGCTAATATGCCTCTTCGTGACTGCTATTCTCGTGAGAATGACTCTAAGAACGAGAATGGACGGCAAGTTAGCGTCGATTCTCGCTCGAGTCGAACAGAATATTCAATATCAACCTTATAAATCGTTCGATCTGTGTCATCTCGAGATTACTTACGACGAAAGAAGAAACGGATAAAGGGTTGTCAACCTATCGTTAACCTATCGTTAGCATAATTTAGTTGGACGAAGGACAATACGTGCGGCGACGCACGATCCAACAAAAGGAGATGCCGCCACGAGGATCGTGATCGAAACGGAAAGAAGAAAAGTCGCGAGTGTTGCGTAACAGGAGCGTGGAAGGGGATCGCGTTACAAAATGGTGAAATTACACGGTAAGGGCCGCGGGACGAAATCGGCAACAAAAATGACTATTGCGATACACGTGGTACCGAGGATGCGTTTTGTCGTTAATTGCAGTTAACGTACGACGCTTGTGAACCTCGCCGATTGTAACTTTGCCCAATGGAACGGTCGTTCAGCCGAAAATACGTATTTCAGCATTCTACGTACACGTACAGAGAGAATATGAATTTTCTTTCCATCTTTCTTCTTTATCGCCGAATTAATTCCTCGAGTCGACAACGTCGAGCCGAACGTTCTCCCGAAGGGTACTTGTATGCGAGGGAATTGGATAAATTCGAGCGCATACTATGTTTCTTAAAGATCGGACGGTTCGAGAAAAGACGCAGAACGTCGCTCATAATATAATCGCGTAATTGATGCGTAGTTGCATGCGACGAATAATTATGCGTTTTCGCGGGAAAAGAATCGCGTGACTTCATCGCTATTCGTAATTACCGCATTTCTTTCTTGTCTCGTTTGTAATTGTCTTATGTAATATGTATATCGATATTGTTCGGTTAAGTTACTTTACCGATCCACGATCTCTTGTAATCTTTTAACAAGTTCCATGTGTTGAAACGTTTGAACTGACGAATCATACAGAAATCGACACGCATAACCTGTCTATACACAGAAACTTCGTTTCATCGCGGAGCGTTTCTCAGCGTGGTAGTCTCTACTTAACATAATTATCACGCCCCGATTCGACCAGCTCATCGAAATCGTTCGGAATCTAATTCCGTCGGTTACGTGATCCTTTCCGATTTTCATACAGAGAGACTATTTCCCCAGAATCAGAGATCGACGGTACGCCGAAGAACGGACTTTCCGCGTATTACGTATTACAATGTATCGTACTCACCTTGAAGAAACGGCGATAAATCGATTTTATTGCGTTGTTACGGGAATTATTTTTCACGCAGTATCTTCGTGGATTAATTACACCGTGTCATCTCGAACGATCGATCGAAACGATGATACACACTGGTTGCGTATGCAAAATTCATTAATGGAGGTCATGAAAATTATCAGACCGTAGTAGTTTTGTATGCGTGTTCGCCACGATGTGTGTAATTGCAGGATAAGGCCAACTAGAGCTATGGGAACTTTTTTGTATATCATAAGCATGGGAACGTTGCTCTGACCAATGCCATGTTACGGCACGTGTCGTCGGAGAACACCTTGTCGGCCCCAATTAAACTTTTCCGTTGTCCGAGGCGACGTGAACGGGTCGCGATTAACATCTCGTCGCGATTTTTCCATTAATCTCCGGGCGGAGACCAGAGAAGTCTGGATGGAAATTTGAATAATGATATCAGCTTACAGGAGAAGAGATAAATTGTCGAGGTAGAGAATTGAAAAAAAAATGAACGGAGTCGAAGAACTGAAATTTTGCAGGTGAAGGAAAATTCAATTTGGATATTAGAAAGAGGAAAAGGAGAATATTTTGCGAATGTTAATTTAATTCTTGTACCATTCAATTATTAATGGCAGAATAGTGAGCCTTATGTTTACTTTGATCATTCATTGACAGAATGATACGATCTTGTTTCACAAAAGGGAGGTAATTACCACGAGAAAAGAGATAAATACGCACAATTTTTTAACCAACTTTTAATGACAATACAAAACTCAAATTCCTTACAATAAATACTTAAACTAAATATTACAATAATTTTGCACTACTTGTTGCAACAAGCCAATTGGTTCGCCATTTGGCGCGCTACTTTCTTACTTTCTTTGGTAACAAACCCAGGAAAGAGAGTTTCACCCTGCTGATTTAATCCGGAGGACCGAAAAGCCTCCGATTTGCTCTCGGACAGCACTTCAGCTTCGTTTGCAGGCGGTCCAGCAGCCTCAGGATTATCATTAGTAACCTTGTCAACCTGCATGGGTTTCTCAGGCATCGCCACCGGTCGATTATTGTACGGATAAAAACCACCGTGTGGGTACCAAGGAGCCAAAGGGAAATTATGGTAACCCCCGGGGTAAAAATTCAAATAAGGAGCACTTTTAATTTTCGGGAAAATATTATCGTGAAATCCGTAACCGAAACGATGATAAGGTAAAACTAAAGGATACCCTGGAAAATTAAATCCTCCGTAATAAGGACCATGTGGACCGTGTGGACCATGTGGGAAACCATAAGGATCGCGATTCCCAGTGCCATTAACCTCACCCTGTCCATTTTCCGGCGTCACTACTTGCTCAGGATTTCCCTGATTCTCAGGTGGATTCTGAGGTTGCACAGGTCTTCCATCGCCATAATAATTAGGGTAATAAGGCTGTTGATAACCATAAGGTCCATAAGGTCCATAAGGTCCATAAGGACCAAACCTGTTACCATTGAAAAATGGCGGACCATGCTGTCCTGGCTCACCTGTACCGTTACCTGCACCTTGTTCAGGATTACCATAATTAAAGGAACCATTGTAGGGGTGCGGATGAAATCCAGGATACCCGTGATAGAAACCACCGTGATAAGGTGGCGTGTAATGAAAACGAGGACCATAATCGTACCCAGCAAACGCCGTTTGCCCTTGATTCTGGTCTTCGACCAGTCTACCTGGATTACTTTCCTCCTGTCCAGAACTTGGAGTCACCGGTTGTCCCTCTCCTTCGATCGGTCTTCCACGAGGATAATAGAACTCTGGATGACTGTGAAAGCTCGAATGGTACGGTGAATGGAAAGGACCCTGGTACTGCAGATTATGATACGGTCTGCGAGTTATCCTAGCGGTCTGACCAATCTCGTTCCTATTTTCGTTGATCCCTTGGACTATCGAAGCTTGCTCGGAAGCAACAAGTGTCCGAGGCTGGAGGTGTTGATAACGAGATTGACCGGCGAATTCTGGATAGTGATTGGAGTTTGGTAACTGGTGAATAGGCTCGGGAGGATGACGGTACTGATTGGAATAGCGAAGGGAGGCTGCATTGATGTCCGCGTCGATGGAATTGTCTCCGGTGTTCGCGTTCTCAGGTGCGCCAACGTTGACCTGATTATGACGAGCCTGCGAGTTGCTGTTCAACGTGAATTCGACCGGACTGTACGACTCGGAATTGTAATACTTGGCGTAGAGAGGCGTGTTGGTTATGTAAGCGTCCTGGAATGCCCCTTTTCCCTCGTTCGAAGGAGCAGGCTCGCGTGTAAACCGGGAGGAACGACTGAACGGAGCCTTCGGCGAGATCTGTGAACCCTGCGGCTGAACGTGGCCTTGCTCTGAGGAGGATCTCGCTTCCTGGATCCTTGCTTTCAGAACGTTGATCGAGGATTGATTCGTTGGTGGATCTTGGGACTCGCCTAGCAAAGTCGTTGATAGGACCGACGCGACGTTCTTGGCGAACGACGTCAGCACCTCGGCGCCTGTTATGTAAAAAAGCGGTTTAAATGTCCTTTTGATACAATTTTTCGGAGGTTTCGCAGTTTCGATCTTCTCGAGTAACTAAATTGAACTTTAAGTGATAGAGATTCTACGATGTCTTTTTTCGAATATTTTTTGAGAATTTGTGGATCTTGTTTACGTAACTTTTATTTTTCTACGTTGGGATTAGATCATGGGATAATATTTCTGTCACACCTTGCGAATATTATCGTTCGAGATGAATTTCAAGAAGTAATTAAAGATGCCGAAGAAGCTATAAAGCTTCGAAACAGACAAAAACAAGGCATTCGTCACGTGAAATGCAATTTCTTGCTTCGTGTTTTTTTTTTAAACATTCCAGCTTCAAGACGTGAATTAATCTTGTCTATAAAAAAGTGGCTGTGCTAGCAAAAAGAAATCGATGTGGAATGAATATTGTCGCCGTAGTTACGACAGTAGTCTTTTTAGCCTGTCAACAGGGATTCTATTAATGTCAATGGATTCATGTAGGCAACGCAACGTGCGTGCATTAATCGTGACGACTAACTCACGTGCATAATTTTGGATGTCAATTATACTTTCTCCCTTTTGCCCTCGTTTCGTTCGCATGAAATGTCTAATTTCGCAAATTTATGTATGGAGACTATTTTTTTCTGTTTCAAGCAAGAAATTACATTTTTCCCATAATATTAAAAAAAAAATGTAAACAATAAGTAAGGAGATATGTGCACGATTTAAATTTCCCTCCGATAATTCACCGTTGGGAAGGCAAAATGACATTAAAAATGAATGAAATCGATCGTTTCGCAGAATCTTCCTCTCTGAAATAATCGTCATTGTTTGAAAAAGCAGTTCAAGGCCGCGCACGACGATCGTTAACACAGTTTCCCAGAACGAAATAACAAAAGGCATACTTATTCCGCTTTTCGCCGCGTTCACGTCGTCCTGAAGGATCCAGAGACTCGTGCAGAGCAGCGTTATCTGTAACAGAACAGCCAGAATAGTCAAAGGGTAGGTCGGAGGATTTCTATCGGTGTTTATATCAAGACACTCCCGACTTCCCTTCGAACTGCGTAACACAGGGCACGTAATCAGTGACTCGTGATATCGTGCCCGGTAATTTTCTATAATACGATGTTTTATTCGCCATTGTGCAACGGAAGAAGCGTACCCGCGCAAACTCAAAGATCAACGCACCGTTTCGTACGTGACACACTTGCTCTGCACGTGGTCGATTGTGAAAATTTCGCGAGGAAGCAATCGCGGAGACGGAAGAACGACTTCTTCGTGTTTCGAAAGGGTCTGATCGTAACAACGTTCTGACAAATTGGCTGCTTAATTTCGTTTCAGTTCCTGGCGAAACCTCGGAATTATTTCGGAATTTTGAAGAAAACTGCAAGTCAAACTTAAATTGGAATTTGCACTTAAATTTCGAATACGAATTTGAATGTAAATTTAGAATTCAATAAGGTATCGTCGAACTTCTTTCCCTCTTTTCTTCTCTTCGCTCGTGCTACCATCGATTAGATTTACTCTATAATCAGCAATTATCGAAGAATGACAGGTACTCGCGTTCTTTCTCCGATACTATAACATTCTTCGAAGAGGAAGTCATCGGTATTTCTCATTTCTTCATACGGAACCTGTTATCCGCGAGATTGAAGCGCTTGACGAATCAATCGATCGCGTCGGGCTTATTACTTCCTACAATCCTCTGGAATTCTGAGAACGAAACTGTGCGGACACGATCGAGAAAATAATATACCCAACGGTTGCATAATATTGGAATTACATTGTGAAATATACGGCACGCATAGAAGAAAGCAGGAAAATGGAGTGCAATTACTGTGTATCACTTATTTGCGGTCTCTGTAAGAAAATAGCCTCGGTGAATTGCTACTTATTACATGGAAATTATTCACAACAACCTAATTACAGTGTTATACAATTGTGCATAACGATTGAACGTTAATTTCCCTATATTAATCTTCATCAAGCACCAACAAATTCTATCTTGAAAAATTTCGGAACAAAAATCCTATCGTTAATCGATCGATCTATAAATCCGTTTCTAACTTGCACCACAGATCGAGCACACCGGTGACAAGTCAATCGACCGTCGAAAGAAATTTATAGAGAAAGGTTACGCGGAAGCAGGCGCGTATAAATCTGTCCGACACGCGTCGATTGCCAATAACTAATTCACGTAGAAAGCGAATAAGGAATTGTATCGAGGTTCCATTCATGCCTTATTCATTCACAAGGTTAATTTCTACGTGCACACACCGCGGCCGCGATAAAGCACACACGTGGTCACTCGGGATTTATACGCGACTCGCAGTCCTCATGAATGGTCACTATCGCGATCGAAAATGAGCTCTAAGAACGCCCACGATTACAACCCGTTGAAATCTCGACGAGGAAACGTGACACACTCGAGCCTTCCTTCATTCACAGCAATATCACCGATCAATAATCGATCGAACAGCTGTTTTCCATTTTTCACGTATGAAAATTGTCGTTTATCTCCGCGTCTGATGCTAATCTGCATCCGTTAATTAACTACACACACACACATATGTAAGCATATATTTAGACGTTTGTTTTTTCAATTAAGCGTCTGGGAAACATAACACGATAAAAGATCTCGTCAACAATTAACGTATTCTATCAGTCACGAAGATTTTATGGAATACATTCTCAGATAGATATTCGTTTACAGTTAATTGCATAGACAACAAGTGGAACGCGTTCTCAGAACACGGGGTACACGTATCTATGTACGTATATACACGCTGTCTCATATTGTTCCTCTCTCGGATTGCAATTAGCACGATTATGCAACGTTTAATCCTTTCTTCTCGCAAGGACGTGCACTTGCGAATATATAGGTGCGGGTACAGCGACGGACAGATTTGTAGAACGATTCGTTAAAATTTATCTGACACGTGTAAATCTTAGCAACAACATCTGCCTGTTGCGCAGAACAAAACTGCGGCTTGTAATAAATTTTCCCAATTACGAAAATTTCCCTTGCAACAAATACGAACAAAAGCAACGTCTGCATTGTACGATCGCACACAGTGTATAGTAATAAGTTTCTTTGAGTTTGCGTTATCTGATCTTGAACGTTTCACCGAACTCTTTGAGATTTCTCAACCCTTTCGCTGCTGTCGACGTTCATAAGCGCTTTGAAAATTTGCTTCTACCTTAATTTAACAAGACGAACTTTAAAACGACACTGCCGAAACGTGAAGATTTTGCACGTGTCTTCCGTCCACGCGAAAGGGTTAAACATTGTTAAACTTACGAGTACGAAAATTTACGACGCACCATGGGGTAATAAATCTTTAATCCTCGTTCATGGTGCACGTTTATTTTTAACGAAAGTACCAATCTGTTACGTTAATTCAATCTGTCAACTTTGTTACGAAGTGTTATTTAAACAAATTGTAACTCGAAAATGTTGATATATTGCTTAAGGAAGAATTGCTCGAGGCGACTGGTTAGACTCTCACAGGACGGAAATTAATTTTCTCCCGATTCAGAAAGTAGCCCCCATTAACCGCGTGATGCATTCGATGTAGGACGAGTATCATGTTGGCAGTTGCGAAACGGTCGGCTCTTCTCTTTTTTTGTTCTCTGTCAACGAGGATCGTATTAGCGTCCGTATACTCACGTGTAGAGGGTAATGCATCGTGCGTGCTGCTCGTGACGACTAACAGGAATACACCGTGGCCGATGTCATTTATACTTTCTCTCCATAAACGCATTTTGCCCTAATTCAATTGATACGAGACCGGCCAATTTTCCGCGTTTCATGCGTGAATGAAATTACACGTAATTCCACCCTTCGGACTTTCCATAACAGCTGTAATTCACGCGAGATTAAATTTGTCCGTGTAATACGGCAGTGTTTTTTTCTTTTTATTGAAACGTGTTGGTACTAAGTAATTTCATAACAATTCGAAAAATGTTTAGTTTATTATTCAGATGCGACGTTTCATTTTGGAACACGTTTGAACACGTACTTTTTAGTAGTATTACAATACACGTCGCAGCAGTACGATTACCTGATTCACTTGCTAGAAAGCTATCGATCATATTCAAGTGAATCATAACTTGTCACGGTGTCCCTGTGACTTTTCCTTCTATTTGCCACATAGGCGAAGTAGTTCCTTCGACAGTACGTATTTACGCCGAAAAAGAAAAATTAGGAAACGAGAGGAATCATTTTGAAGTGTTCTTCCATTCGTTTGTTCAATTATGCTAGTGAAATAAATGCCCTTAGATGAATTTTTATGCACGGTGGTCTGTTCGATCGCATAAGATTGTATTTACGTGACAATAAATAGAATGGAATTCTTGGAGAGTGCAGTGAAAATGTCAGACGAACATCGATGAAACTTTTATACCTTTTATTGCTAATATTCTGTAACTAATTATGATTAGTATCCTATGCGACTGATCGTGCCGACAACGCCAGGAGCTACTAAACCCGGTACATTCAAGACTTGAACTGGCTGTGGATGCACGCCCACTAATCTAGTGGCCCTAAAATTTGGAGTGACAACCACTGGCTGTATGGCTCCGTATCCGTTTAATGGCCGTGCTTGAATCGAGTTAAATTGCTGTCTCATAAATCCTGGGTACTTCGCCACCATTCCAGTTACACTTCCATACGGGATTCCACCTGTAATTAAACGATAATAATTCATAACATAACACCGTTGTCACAAACGTCGAGTAAAGCAGGAAGAAATAATGTTGGACGTTAATTACAGACGTTTTTATTTTTTATTTCTTCGTTGGAATGGAAGTATACTTATTCTGAAAGTGGTAAAATTAGTTTTTCGTTGTTTCTATCTTTTTATATTTATTTCGAGTTATTTTTATAGGAATATTGCAAAGCACACGATCGATAATATATTATAATAATATTTTCAATACTTTCGCAACCGTACACGGTCAACATTGACAGAAAAATACTGAGAATATTATTGATCGTGTGCGAGCCCCTTAAGATCGATACCGCTTGTGCAGGCGTTGAAGTCTCCAGTCTTCGCATCGAAATCTTTATAATTCCCGCATTCTATTAAGAATTAAAAAGTGTAGACACTTATGATATTTCATGAAATTTATAGCTGATTAATTTTTGTGATTCTAGGAGTATCTAGTCTCATTTGTTGTTAAAAATGTTTACATTAAAAGGTGGAAAGAACGAAGCGAAATGTAGCTTCAAGCGTCGGTGTCGTCCTCTGGTGTGTTTCAGTGGAACATGAAGTAAGAACGATTGCTTTTACAATATTTATTCATATTGACGAATAAAAATAACGAAAGTACGGAATATATACATAATAAGAAAAGTTCAAGGTGATGATTTGTTCACGTAAGTTGCGAAATACAAAATGAAAGTGAACAAACTGACTTACCATACGCCAGTCCATTTACCATTTCCACAATTCCTGCGCTGTCCGGTGCGGCTGTCGATAAGTTCAGCAAACCAACGACAGTTAACAGCAGAATGCTCTGCAAACAATTAATTATGGTCATTCTATACAGAAACACTTCGAAGGAACACGTTAAAACCAAGCGGAATATCCTTGTTGTTTCTTCAACTTAAATAAACGTTACGTTTCCTGAGCTACAGCTATCATATTTCCCTTTTATACGTGACTTCGATCAGATATTGTACATAAAGGAACTATCTTCCCATATTATCGAGACAATATTCAGTTTGTCGACGTAACGGTGCTTAATTCGATATCAGATCGTTAATTATAAGATGATTAACGGTGAAAACTTTCATATCTTTCGAATATAATTTCACGATAGCGTTACCTTAGGTAATGGCGGTAAATGACAATCGCAGATAGAAAGTATGGCATTATTTGCATGTCTGTTTTTACTTCGTTTCATGCTGCTTTTTACGGTAAACAAGCCTAAGAATGTTTCACCGTTCGTTTCGAGCACGAGAAATTTTCGCGAAACGTTAGATAAACACGTCTGAAATGTTCACCGTTAGGCGTTAAATGTTTTCACTTTCCCTGGGTCATTCTATTTTCGTGAAGAGAGAGACGAAAAAAAAAAATAAAGGTGGAATGTAGTATCTGTTGCGATCACGGTGCACTTTCATTTGAATGCACCGTTCAACTGTACGAGTAATTTTATTTCAGCACACGTATTCCTGTTTTCTGTTTGTCGAATCGTAAAACAAGAACGAAACTCGAGTACAAACTCGAAGATTGAATTATACGCATGGCGTAAGGTTACTGTTAGCCAATCCAAGGCCAGGATTTCGTTTCGTTGATTTTCGTCATTGGAGAACACCGTTCGTGTGGAAACTTGTAGAAGAAGTCTGGTACATTTTGAGTACAAAAATGAACAAATACGCGTAGAAAATGGTAAATAGAAGCGACACTTTGGAGAAATTTTATGCTAGTTCGGTGCAGAAAATTCGTCGTGGAAAGTTCATTGAACATGCTTCGAACTGTGAAACATATGGACCTTGGAGGACACAATCACCTCTCACGTTAGTCACGCGACTCTTATTACGTTCATGCTCGACTATTTTCTCTTTTTTTCACCACTTAAGTACGCTTATACGAGCAGTTCGTTCTTGTCACGTGAGGAACTGTCAAAAGACATTTTCGAAAACGTTCCATTATTTTCTTTCTACCGACTAACTCAGTATTTGATCACTAATTCAAAGTGCATGATTATGTGAAACACTTTTGTACACCAAATTCTAACTTCTAAATAAATTATTCCAATATTGAAGCATCTTCAAAAAATCTCCAAAAAATCTTTTCAAGTATCTTCATAGAAAAATTTGTATTCAATCATTTTTCGAAGCACCTAAGCATAACCAGTAAATCAAAAATGTACGAATTAAAGCTGTATTCAATTTATTTTCTGTCTTTCTTATTTTTCATATTTCTTTTCAATTTTAATTGCCTTATTCCAAGGATGTAATATCACTTTTTGCCACTTCATCGAGAAAGGTGATCCTTGATACTTTTGTTGTGAAACTACTCGTTCCTAGATTAGTGTATCGCCTGATTAATTAACACCACAATCTTTTTAAGCCTCTATTTTAATGGAATCACAATGTGTTCCACAATTTTTTTCCTTCAAAGGAAGCATATTGACCTTTCGGTAGTCGCGTCGCGAGACAAGAAGGAAACTAAAGCACTAAAGTAAAGATCGAATTATATACGGGGCTCGGCCTCGCAGTTGGCCAATCAAAGACTAGTATTCCCTTTCAGTATCGAGTGTTATTCATCGATACAGGATTTTATTAGAATGCTGTGCGTACCTAAACGGAGGATATCGTCCACCTTAACCTTGGAGAACGTCGAGCAACCACTCACGTCGGCTGCACCGCTGGAATAAGGTAAATACGATTTTATTCGTAAGTTTCTATTGGAGAAAATTCTACTGCATTCTTGGCAGGAATCACTTGGATTGAGAAATTCATGAAAATTCCACGGTATTACCGCTTAAGAATATTGAAAATTCCTACGAGCATTAGTAATAAAGAAAACTAACGTTGAATAAAATTAACAGTTGAAGGCGTTGAAAAGTTTCAATACCTTGCGAACACTGAAAAAGGTAAATGTGTCTCTACTTTGTTGAATTTTAGCTAATTTCAAGCTAAACAGCTCCAACGAGCACGTTAATTAATTAATCATCGCACCTTGGTAATTTTCTAACTGTAAAAATATTCAGACCGTGAAGTTCGTAAGAGCATTAAATAAAATCATCATCTCCTAAGCGAAAAATGGTTAACATAATAGCACGCATCATTATCCTCAACCGGCATAATATATCGTTAACTGCAAGTGCACCATTCTTCATAGCAGAATTATCGATGAATCATTTACCATGTCTCGTGCTGAACAATGAACAAGGGAATAATTGACCGGTTACCTACTAAATTCCATGGAGAAATTGTGACACACTGTAGCGTTGAATTAGATCAAGGATACCGAGGCAGGGAGCAGGGAACGCGGTTACGTAACGAGAGTAATGATTTAGTGGTCTCGTAGATCGTGATCGATTATCGAACGAAACAGTAGCGCACGGTTTGATGAAAATGGTGAGAAAACTCAAATATCTCTTTAAGACGTTTCTTATCAAAAATCGTCGAGGACATTTTTACGAAGATTTTTGTAAAGAATTTTATGGAAGGTAACTTTTATCTTTATTGCAAATAATCTAGTTTGTGTACAACAACACAAGTAACAGATAGAGAACAAACGTTAACAAACACATAATTTTATTCGTTTAAAAAAAAACTCTGTAAAATTAATTTGTCAAGGTTATAACAAACAAATTCTTCTAAGTAACGAGTAAAGTTGCTCTAAGTGATTGTGAAGGATATTTGATAAAAATTTGCAAGAGATTTCTCGTTCTGTGAAATATTTCGCTCCGGTTTCTCCGTTAAAGTTTCATTTCGCTCACATTTATAATACCTTAACTGTACGACCGCTCGATTCCCACATCTCTGACATTATAATTTTTTCCCTCGCGACAAGTCGTTCCATTTACATATTCTCGTTTGTCGTAATCTGAGAATTTTTTTTACAAGCAGGTTTCATATATTTCTCGACAGATTTTCCACGGAACAGCTCTAAAATTCGTTCTTTCGTAAGCGCCTCGTAATCGTTCCAAAGTATCTCGTTTTTCCTTTCTAAAACACTGTGTCGCTCGGAACTCTCTCGAAAGGTCAGGTTAATGAAAGAAAGTTCCAATGGAAAGCTCTAATGAACCTGATACTCCATCAACGACAGCTCGTCAGTGTCCTTTCTAACTCATTTTCATAAATATTCCCTAATCAGAGCACCTTCTTTCTTAGACTCTCAATTTTTCCTTCTTTTCTCCCAGCTCTAAGAAGAGAGCGTAAACTACAGCTACAAAATAAGAGTAAAAAAAAAACAGTATCCTTGTTCAAAAGTCGTAATTCTCCGATATCCAGGAAACAGACGAAACGATCTCCCTCGAACTCTGCTCGGACAATTGAACAGCTCTGTTCGGTGGCATAAAATCCGCCTCTGTCTTTATCACACCATCGTAATCGTCGTGATTGTCGCCAGAACTTCCTTCAGAGTTGTCAAAATCGCTCAAAGTCTCTATCCTGTCGTCGTTGAACCTCTCGTCACTTTTCACCGAGGAGAACGTCTCTGTCTCCTTCTCGTCAACTTTGATCAATTTCGTCTCTTTAGTCTTGTTCCGTGGATTCTTCTCTCGACTCTCGTTAACCATGTCAGAATGCTCCTTTTTCCTCGAACCTTTCGACAGCTCGTAATCCCCCGCGTTTTTTGCCTCCTCGTTCGCTATCTCGTTCGTTCGACTCTTCTTTCTGCCACTTTGCTCCATTGTTCCACTTGTCGACGTCGAAGTTTCATCGCTGACAGATTTATTCAGCACCTTGGAAGCGTCATTTTTCATCAGATCCTTGGCTGTCTTCTGATTTCTCCTTCGACCTACCCTGGAGGCTAACGTCGTGCTCGCTGGTGACGTCGACGTAATTGTTGCAGGCGTAGTTGACGAAGATTTCTGCCTTCGACGTGATCTATTGACGTCGTTCGCAGACTTCGTGCTAGTTTCTACGGTAGAAAGATTATTCTTCAATATTCTACGTCTCTTCTTGTTCAATTGCCTCGAAGAACTCAAGTCGTTGGTAGAATTACCGATCTCCTTAGGATCAGCTTTGACTACGGTGATTTGAGACTCAGAATTGTCCAAAGTATTCTTCACCGAGTCACTGGAATTCCTATTTTCATCTCTTCTTGTTCAATTGCCTCGAAGAACTCAAGTCGTTGGTAGAATTACCGATCTCCTTAGGAGCAGCTTTGACTACGGTGATTTGAGACTCAGAATTGTCCAAAGTATTCTTCACCGAGTCACTGGAATTCCTATTTTCCGCAGAGACGTCCGCCTTCGATTTCTCTCTTCTTCCGGATCTTCTCGTGGGCGCTAGAGTCACGTCTTCAGGAACGATCATTCCTCTGGATATTCCTCGAGATCTGTAGGAAGCAACAGGTGTCCTCTCTTCGGAAGAATCTTTCTCCTTCTCCTCGGACCCTTCAGATGTTCCCTTCTCTTTAGAGTCACTTTCGAGTTTCTTTTTAATAGATCTACTGATCTCTTCTACGCTCCTTGATCTAACATTCGTCGATTTCTCGTCCACAGGTGGCTTGCTGCTTTTAGAATTGTATCTACTGCTGTATCTCATCAGTGGTCGATACTCGCTGCTGCTCTCCACGTTGTCCGAAGAATTGTCCTCAGAAGCGTCTCTGTCTGTGCGAGTCCAGTATCGATATCTTCCACGAGGAAAAGCGTTTCGTCGATTTTTCGAGACGAACGTTTCTTCAGCTTCCTCGTCCTCGTCGTCGAAGCCTTTGACTAGCCTCTTACGCTTCTCGTCCTTTCTTCGTTTCTCTTCTCGAGCCAAACGCTCTCTTCTCTCCCAAGGATACTCGTACTCGCCCGTTGGTTTTCCTCGACTTCGAACGCGTTTCCTCTTTCTCCACTCCTCTTTGTCTCTG